GATGTAGAGTTCCTTGGACAACATTCGGAACATGAGACACTGTTAGACGTGCGACGGTCGTGATACTAGAAAGCGATCGCCGGCGGCCGATGCTCGTCCGGCGCGACTTATCTTCCCGTCCAGTCTTGGCCTTTACGGCGTTGGTAGGAGAGTTGATGATATCCCGTTTTTACTCGTGGTGGTGGTGATAGTGTAGACCGATCGCTACAGTGCTAGTACTTTGTACTGGCGACTGTTGCGTCCCGTGTCAACTACGTCGGATCAGACCTGCTACGTGCTGTTACGTGGGGAGTCCTAGAGTTACCTCTGAGCTTCAATTCCTTCGTACCCTCCACAGGGTCCCCGGCGGACGATCGAAACGAAATCGTGGTCCTCTCACTGGCACCCTTTCGGGCCAGTGCGGGGACCACAGTTGTATTACCTTCATCTCGCCGGGGTCGCAGTAGTGGACACAAAAGGAAATGCAGATCAGAGGTAGCTCGGGGACTCTAAGAGCCTCCCGAAATTAAAGTGGAGACGCGCTGACGGAATAAAACATTGCCTGCACTTAACCACTTTATACATATATATTAACCAGCAATACACACCAATTACCCCCGAGACTTTCCACTGGAACTACTTCGGGGGTATAGGGTGTCACCATCGTTTATTAATTGAAACAAAAACATCACATAGATGACATAGTTTAAACAAATATGGGTAGAGACAAGAATAGTACCCTAATCACCCACCTATACAAAATTTAGTCTAGTTACACTTTAATGAGAGGCCTTACCCTCTCTAGAATTTCAATTTGACCACAGCAAACAGTAACTTAACTACATTAAAAGATGATACTTTTTTCCATTTCCGTTTACGCTGCTGCTCTTTCGCTTCCCTTGTGGACATGATTCTGATTAGAAGTTGGGTGATGAGTTTCTGTCCTTTGGGGAAAGACGTCATCAGCTCGACTATGTTCTCCGGCTGGAGCTCGAATGATCTCCAATTCTCCACAAGTCTACATCCTTCAGTTTGTTCAAGCATCGTAGTGAAATATGTCGTATTCAGGTCATCCGGCGAATTACCGCACTGTGCGCAGCTGTCTGTCTCATGCAGGTGCAGGAAGCGGTGCAGGTATGAGGTGAAGCAGCCGTGGCTCGATAACACCTGTGATAAGCTGAACGAGACCTCGCAGAAGGTCTTGATAGCCACCTGTCGAGTTGCCCGATCAATTTAAATGTCTATCTACCCTTCTGGCTGCTTTTCCCCTTGGTCTGCCAATCCGTTGTAAACTCGCTTCTTGTGTTTTGATAAATAAATTTTCTTAATAATATGCAATAATTTTTTTATTCATATTAAGCTTAAAAAGAAAATGTTTCGATTCAAATATAATATCTGCTATTTATTTTCATGAATTACAAGAAAAACTTTATAAAATCGATGATTTACGGCATTTGCGCGTACGTATTCATTTTATTGGCAGACAGACAACTATTAACTAATTCAACTATAGATAAATTTATACACCTTAGAATCGAATAATTTCAAAATAAACATTGTAATATAATAGTATACGTGGTGGACCCGTACTGATCACGATCTCTAAAATGCAAATGTTTATTCAACGTAAAGTGTATTAAATCTATATTCTATTCACAATTAGGAAAGCTAAAATAAAGCATAATCGTCGTCGTCATCATCGAGTTTTTGGGAAAAAAAAATATTACTCTACTAAAAATAAACGAACCGAAATATACCGTTTAAAATTTTGGAATGGTAAAATAAATTAAAAATTATGTAAGTTTATTACATAAAAATAAAATAAATATTCAATACAATATTGACGCCTTCTAAAACTTTCCGCCCTATGCGATTTTGTAGTTCGCACTGCCTTAAATCCGACTCTGCTAATATTAATTACTCATGTCTGGAAGTCAAAAAAAAAAAAAAAAAAAAATGTCTGTAACTAAAAAAAATTCAGCATTATTGAGTTTCCCTAGTAATGTATTATTTCGTGAGGTAAAAATGAACAGATTGACATAAATAACAAATAAAACTACGAAAATACACATTCAAACATTTTCATATTAAACAATTATAAACACAGTATTACATTTCGTACTTTTTTTATCATATGCTATTAGTTATAAATGCTACAATATTACTTGATCATATAAATAGATAAGCTTCAAGATCGAACATAAGATCAGTATTATGTTTTATGGCTTGCTATATGACATAATTATAGCCTTATGTTTTTCCTAAAAGAAAGAAATTAAAGGGTGCCTCTTCGAACAAATAAATTTCTTACGAAAAAATGTTTTCTAAAAACTTTGGTCACATAGAAACTTAAATATAGATTGCCTGATTATGTATTATTTTAATTAGTAATTATCATCATCAGGTCATCAATCCATCGCATGTGACCAATGACCATGCAATCATGTCAATCGTGATATTTTTAAATTCATACTATACTATAGTACCTATTATTGTAATTATTTAAATTAATATAGATTGTATCATATATTTTAACATGGCAAATTGCAATATCGCAGAACTTTTTATTCTAAATCGAGGAAGTTTTCTTTTGTATTTTTATGTCCTTTGATACGCCGAAAAATTAGCTGAGTTGTGTATTAAAAAGGTATTTTATGCTTAATCATCTGATAGTCCCCCATGCATCAGTTATTTTATTCAATGAAAAGTATTTAAAATCATACATCCTTTTTTTCTATAATTGTTTTTAATTTAGTCTTTAACACTTTAAATAACATATTAAGGTAATTTTAAAATAAAAACCTTTATAATTTAAGTACTGTCTTTGTTTATTAATTAAACATTAGATAAAAAACTACTTATAATACTAATAATATAGTTATGAACACAATGAATTTAGAATGAGCTCATTTTTGACAAAAAAAAAAAAAAAAAAAAAATGTTTTTGTTGTTAATCTCTTATAATTTTATGAAGTATGAATTGGTTTCACAAAACACCAGCTATCATTAAGAATTATACACACATTATCAACAAATTTAGTAAAATAATCATAAATCTATGATAACCAAGTTAAAAATATTATTTAATTATTGAATTTGAAAAAAAGTTTTCACTAGTTATTATTTACCTTAATTACAACATTACAAGTATCTACAACGTATCTTTCGGGTAAAATATAAAAGAAATAAAATTGCTTTTAAACGTCCGTCAGAAGTAACGGAAATTATTATACACCTCTGCACCTTTCTGCTTATAAATTAATAGGAATAAGTATACTTATTATATTGCATTGGTATCTATATTGTTGAGCATTATCAAGAATTTAGATAAGTAAAAATAGATCACTTGATGTTATATCTTTGATAGATATTTATGTACATCATAATCCGAGAAAACTTAAGTTAGGTCCCTAGATATTTTATCACTTATATTAAACACGAGTTGGGTCCTTCGTGTTATTTAGTAATACTCGAATTGGGTCCGCGGTAATATTTTATGATTTTATCTGTTATTGACAAAGTAACCGCCGGTTGTCGACACCGCAACTGTATTTCGACGGAAAACAATATTGTCGTAATTTGAGTTATAATTAATTAGAAATATTAACTACTTATAAAAAGATAATTAAAAAAACAAAAAATGATATTAATAACTAATAAGTTATGAGAAGTATTATTGTAAATTTATAAAATATAGATGTAATGATAAGTTAAATACTTTATTACTTTAATCATTTATACATGAGTAAACCAACAAATAAAAAAATCAAATTTTTGGGAAACTTTCTAGCCAACCTCTACATTGTCTCTTGATAGTTAACGCTAAAAGAACAGATTAACTGAACTTAAATTTTGCTAAAATAAATAAATATAAGGGACCCAACCGTGTACTAGATAGAATATTCTGAGACCTAATTTATGTTGTTTTCAAAATTTGGAACTCAACTTAAGATTGTCCTTTAATTAATCTAGATAAATAAGTGTATGAATATTTTCACAGTACAAAATTAAATATAAAATTTCATAGACCTTGATATAGTAATTGTATAATTAATATTTAAATAAATATCAAACAAATATAAAAAAAAAAAAATAAGTTTGACATAAAAATATAAATATTAATATTATTGAAACAATTATTCACCTTTTGTATTGATATACCTACTATAATGTTTAGTGTATTAAGATTAAAAATGCTTAACTTTTTAATAGGATGAATATTTAATGGCAGTAATAGCTTAACAAATGCAATAATAAATGATGCAGATTCTATGTTAACTTTAATTTTTAAATCATTATTTGAATTTATTATTTATTTTGATAAGATGTCGAACTTAATTTACACTAACATTATTTCTCAGAAAGTTGTTATAGAAGTTTACATTTTTAACGTCAGACACGAACTGTTTCAGAATATTAACTAATTTTGCGATATTTTTAAAAAGCCATAAAAAAGTTTTAAATTTATCAATAATATTTGTTATTAAAAACTAAAAATTTTAATTTTAGATCTTCAAGTTTAAATTTAATAAATGATCCATATTTTGTAATTAGATTTATATAAATATACGAGTAATGTTTTAGCTGTAAGTGTCTACAACCAACATCTTAATTAAAATTTAATGTTTCAAGGTAGTATAGCGATTGAAAATAATTTACATTTAAATACCACTCCAACTTAATTATAAAATAGTTATGTATATCAAATATTTCTTAAAAATAAGCATCAATAAATAAATATTTTCAAAAAAAAAATTTAAGTTTAATTTTATAAATTAATATTTAAAATCTACACAAGAGTTATTAGTTATTACTTATTATTTGAAAATTGTACTTCTTAAAAATGTTTTCATTATTTTTATTATTATTATTATACTTTTTGTTTTTTCCTACTGTAATAATAAATAAGGAATAATTATTTTAAAGATATTGACTTTTATCTATCAGAAATTCAGAAATATCCTACAATTTTTCAACATATCCAAATAATAATTAGAATATTTAATAAATTACCCTGTAAAGTTAAAGATTAGAACATTGAAAGCTTTACAAGTAATTACAACAGCCAAATAGTTATTGAGGCGTAATAATTTTCGTATTATAATCTTTTGATTTTCTTTTTTTTTTTCGTGATTTTCGTTTCGGCACAACCGGTGTACTGGGAGGTACAATAATTGATAGTTGTGTCACAGATGTGATGTCTTCTTCAAAACTCAACTTGTCAACAATTTCTTCACATATACTCGATGAGCTCTCGTCGCTTTAACATACAAACGTAAATGGTTTTTAATACAAGATGGCAAAATTATTAAACAATAATTGAATAATTGTTAATTAAATGATTTAGTATATGTTGAACCTAATTTTAAGTTAATAATAAATTAGGTACAACATTTTTTAATTATTGTCTAACGATATATTAAATGTATGTTACAACTTGAATTTTTAAACATTCAAATAAATAATATTTATTTATATGATTTACCTTGAGTAATCGGATATGTCTATATTCTTTGGTTGTTCTGCATTGGAGCCCTGTTCCATTAGTCGACTGCATATTTTTAATTTCATTTTTTCCTAAAAATAAAAATATTCCAATAATAATTATTATAGTTATTATACAATATATATATTTTAATTTCAGAATATGATACATTATATATTCATATTTAAAAAAAACAATCGTCACAAACATTTCGGGGATCTTCGTTATAGTAGTCTAACAACGTTTCACAAAATGTCTGTCCAATATCTTCAAAATCTTTGATGGCGAGATGAGTGTTTGCTCGAGAACCAAGAGACGAACCACAAAATGACGCTTCCATAGTGTAGCTGTTTTCAACACCCATCAGCCAAACAACTACACGAGCTGTATTCTCCTTAGAACGTTGAATGTTGAAATTGCAATCTTCAAATGAAAACTACGGCGCGAACGATGTGTACATATACACATACATGTATACATATACAATAAATTACATTATTTTCTCTATTCTTTTCGCTTAAATAAATAACCATAATTATACTTTTTCCGGAGCATTTTTGTGCAACAAAAGTGGAAATATTTGTTCCTGCAGTTTTTTTCCTTCGTGGCCTTTCCCTTCACATCCATACATGAAAATATTTGACTTTCTCGAATGTGCATGCAAATCGCAAAACATTACTACTTGACGTTCTTCAATTAGTCTTAAAATAAAAAATAATATTCATACCACATTATACATTATATTAAATAATTAATACTATATAGTTTATTTAAGAGTTAAACTATTAAATCGTTCAAGAAAAAAACTCGAATAATTTTTTAAACAAAAAATAAAACTTCAGTTTTTAATTGTTTTGATAAAATAACTAATATTAATAATAAATATTATACAAAGTATATGAGTTGTATTATCTACAGTTCATAATTAGTTAAGTGTATTTATATCCAATAATATAAAGTGACTTATTAAAATAAAAAAGGTGATCAAAAGATTATCCTTTATTGTAGGTACAGTAGATGAGAAGTGACTCACTGTGAGGTACCTATGTGTTATATTTGAATTAAATAATTTTAATATTGAATACAGTATACGAAAAACGATTTTAAGTGGAGACTGTCTGTTAGACTAGGTGAACATATTTCACGATATTGTGTTTTTAATAAAGCAGTTCAAGTTACTGTTTTTAATTTTAGTACTACGGTAAGTTGATAACATTTTTTTTCGAAAAAATTACATTTATTATATTATTATTTATTTATTTATATTATATTATTTTTATTAAATTTTTAGTTAATATCAAATTAACGTAAAACTGTATAAATTAATTCATGGTATAAATAGGTAATATCTTAAATTAATTTACTTATTTTAATTATTATGTATAATAAATTCATGATATACGTAAAAGTTTTAAGTACCTACGTCTCGTATCACCTTAAATCGTTTCTGTATTTTTTCTTAACAACCAAAACACAGCTGACAAACTAGTTAAAAAGTAAAAACCATCAAAAACTTCATATTGATAACCAAGAAATAACAATAAAAAAATTGATAAATTCGCTCAAAAGAATCACTGTAATAAATTATTCTCGATTATATCTAATAGCACAATAATCAAAGCCCTTCAAAATGATATATCACCATAGAATTAAGATCAGTCTGTTAAAAATGTATGATTAATGACTTCAGATGTTGAAGCCTTATCAACTAAAAAAAAAAAAAGCTATAGCCAAATACCAATATGTAAGAGAACGGCAGTTCTCCACGATTACCATCACGCAGTATGAACACCAAGACAGCCCCACATTTTGGTAAACTGTGTTCGTAAGTAATAATAAACTTTATGTATTAAAAATTATTAGACCAATTTACTCTTGTTTATAAAATTAAGATCCTTAATACCTTTCATGCTCTCGAGCTGCGGTTATAATGTATTCAAAAAAAACTAACTCCTCTGAATATATTTTATTTAACAAGTTATCACCGACCACGTTACATTTATTAATTAAAATAAACGAAAATTAAATGTTTTCTTAGTATCTAAGAGGTGAAATATTCAACCATCAAAGCCAAACTTGTAGCTTTATTTTCTGGCCGGTACCTGTCATAATTTATAAAAAATAAAGGGAAAAATGTGCCGGTTTAAAATTTTTAAAAGTTGCATTGAAAATCACAATCTCTAAGTTGATTTAATTATATAAATAATAATAATATATATTAATATATATTAATTATATAAATAAATATATATTTTATTAATATGAATTTAGGGTAAATATTTAAATACATTATAATATTATACATAACAATAAATACCTTCGAAGCATAAGTTTTGTATGCCAAATAACCGGATGGGCGTCACGAATAACGCTACGATATTGTCGATTTAAGTCCCGTCCATTTAAAGAACATCTACTATTACCAACAACTACGCCGTCTGGATTCAACATTGGTATTAATTTGAAAATAAAACGATTCCGTAATTCCTAAAATACATTTAATATTTAAGGTGTGGTTGTATAAGTATAGTAGTTAAGTTGATAAAGTCTTTTATCCTCTTATGGCTCTAACCATACATAAATATGGAAAAGTAAACTTTACTTAATACCTACTTTGTTTAATTTAGATACTTATATTGAAAAAGGTACGTTGCACTTCTTCAGTTACACATAAAATTCACCACTAAGCACAAATCCATAAAGCTAATATGATTGAATACGAAATCTCGGGCAATTTATTATCATATAGGTAATTTATTTAACAAGGATTATTGCATTTTGACTTATACATTGTCACAAGTTATCATATTAAAAATATTTTAATCGTATTTTTGATATGCAATTAAGTATTGGTAAATTTTAAATAACAGTTACGGTAATTAATTTCTTAATTAATTTAAAGTACCTACTTATGTAGTTATTTTTTTTTATTTTTTCAAGAGAATAATGGCGTTACTAAATAGTTGTTTGTTTACGAAGTTAATGAACAGCATATATTATGTAAATTAAGTAATTCAAGTTTAAAAGTATTAAAATTGTATTTCATCAAAACATATTTTGCTACAAAATATTACAAATTGAATAAATAATATAATTATGTAAGTATGGAAGTTTGGTTAATAATATAACCTAGATAAAAAAAAATTCATGAGCACCAAAATATGATAAGCTATAATGTATTATTATAATTTATATTGAGTATTGACACATAGTGTGTATAACAATATAACATGTACATTGTACACGTGTAATTTATACATTAATTTATTCACCAATGTTACAAAATTAATTCTTTATGTTATGTATTGAATTTGGTAATATTTGAAAAATATTAAAGAGTATGCTTATTGTTCAATTGTAATACAATAAAAATGTTACTCCGATAAAGACTGTACTCAATCGTATTTTACTAAAAAATAAGGCCTATAAATTGTTGAAACATTGTTGATTTTATTTTTATAATTATAAATCCCATTGTTATAACTTATTTTTTCAATTTAACCACTGTTTTTAAATTTATATTATAGTATTGTATGGTGATACTAGCTGTATTATATTCATAATATTCCGACTCAGCCTAGTGGAAAATTAACAGAAAACAAAATTTTTTGACATGATCCAATAAGTAGTTGTGAAGGCATTAAAAAAAAATAAAATTTGCGGTAAAGGTTAGGTGATCTAATGATACTAATTATTTGAACCTATTAACTTCAAATATTACATTATTAATCATCTCCCATCTTCACGATATCATTACATGTCTTGTCCTACTTATTTCATGATTTCCTCCAGAAAAAATGATACAAAACTGTTTCTATTTTACTCCTATTAATCCTTAATTTATTTTTGAATGCTGTAGTCCATTCTTTCAATTTCTCATTCAGTTCTTCCAATCTTTCTTCCACTAACGTAACATCGTTTGCAAACATTATGTGCTATGTAATTTCATCCTTTTTGTCATTTTAAGTCTTCCAATTTTCCACATACATTTACTCTTCATTCCCATTATTCTCACTTCACACACATCTTCTATTACTTTTACATACATCTTCAATACACCTTTATTTCTAAATATCCATTTTATAAAAATACATATACATATATTGATAGATAAATAGTTAATAAATAATCTAAAAATAAAACGTATCTATATTAAAATTACCTTCGCTTGCAATGAATCACCAGTTAAAAAATCAATTAATCCTTTCATCATCCAAGACGATGGAGTTTCGGATGGATGGACCCGTGCAGTTAAAACAATCACTTTTTTTTGCTAAAACACATTAAAATCATTTACATTAAAATAAAACAACACTTTAATACAGTTATAATAAAAAATAATAACTAGAATATACTTTGGGATCTTCTTCTTGACAAGGTTCCGTTACAGTCAAGTAATGCACATTATTGCCAGCTAATGTTCGGCACAGAACTCTAAGTTTTGTAAACACTGCTTTAACCGGATCGTCCTAAAAAATATCATTCATATGTTAAGTTTGCTCATCAAAATTAAAATAAAGTTAAATTAATAAATTCTATATTAGCTACTACTGCATCACCTTGAGCTTTATTAGATAGTCTTGTAAATCTGTATATGTGTACGGATAGTTGTAGGCCAGGTATACTGTATCCATATCATGTGGAAACTCTAAGAGAAATGAAAAGATGTAGCGTGGATTATCCTCGCTATCACCGTTTCTGAAAATGCCAAAAACAATGATGAAATAGTACTAGAAGTATGGATGTGATTTTGAAAAACGTAATAATTAATAAATATTTAATAATAAAATTACGGTGCATCGTTTCTGTAATATGCGATGCTTTCCCCACAACGTCTCCAACCCACATTTTTTTGACTTGCATCTTTAGTTGAGTATAACAGCGGTTTCATACCAGCAGTGAAAAGGCTTTCAGACTTATACATGTTGACAATAGAAAATCTAAAAAAAAATAATAAGCACTCATTTTCAATACCTAAATATATTTATTTATTCTATATTTATTTACGACATTATATAATATATAGGTGTACGAGTATAACGATAGTATCCACCTAAGAATATTTAAGAAAAAATACCTTAAGTAAATATTTGTTTGATGAAAAATTCCGGGGAATATATGTCTAGTGAACCTTACTTGGTGCAAAAATTTAATAAAAAAACAACATTTTTATTAAAATAAGAATTATATTTTAAATATTTTATCATAGTATTAATATATAATCTATATAAGTAATTTATATTCATTATTTTACCAATTTCAAGTACCTATCGTTTAAAGCCGTCGATTATAGCAAAAAAGTTTTATACTCCAATTTTTCAACAAACAGATGAAGATAAACAAACAATAATAGTGTCAATAGTGATATAAAAATATTTATTGTATTATAATTTATAATTAATAGTTATTATTATTTTGTTACTGTACATTAAGGTATATTGGGTTTTTTTTTCTATAAGTTTCCTGAAAATATATACCTACTCTTTTACACAATAATAGTATTATAGATTTAATGGCCATAATACTATTTACAAAATGTTGATATTATTGAAAATAATATTTTTTTAAATATCGATTGTCAGTCAGTAACTAGAATAATACTGCAATAATACAGTTTATTATATATTATAATTTCTATAATTTTTATTACAATATAAGTCAATACTGACGTTTGAAAGAAAGTTATAAGTAGGTGGCAGTAGGTCCGTGATTTAAGTATCCAAAACAATGTTCTCTTAAGTGATTTTTCATAATGAATTATTTAGTATTTTAAATTTGGTATATTATTTTAATAAGACTGCTGCAGAATTGTGAGCCAAACACACAAATACTTAGTTGAGTAAAATTTATAATTTAATCATTGCAAAAAACGTACTCATGTGGTTGGTTTTTTTTTATGGTGATTTCAATACAAATTACTCAAATTTTTGACTTTTCAAAAAAATATTAAGATGGGATTTGTCATCCATATTTGAGGTCATATCTAATACTAAAAACAATATTTTAACTGTTTATGTCTTCCTGTGTTAATTTTTTTTTAAACTACAGTTTTGTTTCTTGTAAATTATATATAATATATTATGAAAACATAACTTTTGTCTTTTAGTTCATTAAAAAAAAAAAGAATCGTCTTCCTGTATAACTATGTATTGTCAATATATTATGATAATCTATTTTACATTTTATTTAAACATTATGAATTTTACATTTACACATTAAAATATAATAATTAATAAATTAACAATAAATTTATTCAAGACATAATTTACAATTAAATTACAGTAAAATTTTTATTGACATTTTTATTAGACACCTACTTAAAATTCAAGAAGAAATAATTAAATTACAACAAAATAATCTCTGTTTGCATATTGAGCATGTCATATAAAACGTATTAAATTATAAGATTGAATAAATCCAGTTTTGAAATAAATGTGAACTTATTGTTAAATTGCATGTATCTTTTCTAGTTTAAAAAAATTTAATTATCTTAAAAATGTTAGAGAAATATTTTACTTACCTATATTTAATGTTTTTTTTTGTATTTTCTATTCGAAAATAGAACCATTGGGTGTGTCGATTTGTATACATATCTGATCTTAGTGATAACTCATAATATGTACTGGTTATTTTGACAACTTTGGCTAGGTTACCGGATTCAAAACGTGATTCAAAAATCAAGTCAGAAGGGTCTTGGCTACTGTGTGCTGGAGAACATGCGCTACCACCAACGGCTGAACGACAAAACTAAATAAATTATAAGAGATCAACCATTGAACTTATTAGTAAAAAAAAAGTTAAATTAAGCTAAGTCTAATGTCTAATACTTACATAGTTCACGCTACTGATAGGATAATATTTAAATATTACTTCTCCTGAATCTTCACCTACTTGTTTGGGTTGTATTTCTTTACCTGTAAACTTGTATAAAGGCTCTTTTTCTGAATAAGACGCAGACGTCGGGTGAATGTGAATAACAGGATCGTCTAGGACCTAAACAGTTTGTATTAAATGTAATTATTGAAATTACTTAAATTAAAAAGACTTACAAGAATAAAAATTAAAACGAGATGGTGATTTATCATAAAATTAGTCAGTATTTTCATTAAAAATAGATGCATATAATGAATTACATGAAACATATTAAAATGTAGAATTGTTTTACTTACTTTTACGACTTTTAAACTTAGAAATTTACAAATGAATATAAATATAATACAAGCAAAATTAAATGTCATTAGAATGAAGTATGAATCATTTTGTTATAACGATTCAAAAATTCACATTTAATATGTAAATACTACTTATTAGTCATTATATATGTATGTATTAAACAACCATGTGGCATAAAATGCATAGTTTTGATTAGTTTTTTTTAAGTAGATAATATTAAAAATTGTCACACTAAAACAAAGTAGATCAATTTAAAAAAAGTTTCAACATAGATAGTTAAAATGGAATATATGTCGAAGCATACCCACGTGATTACGTTAGTTATGGATGTATTTAATCATGTGATTATGGAAATTGAACTTACAGGACTGCAGGCGGTGCTTAATAAGAATTAAATTCATAATACACTTTATAGTTATTTTTCTCACTTGACACTCCATTGGCCATCTTGCAGCTTGATAAGGACAATCTACCTCTTTCATTAATGGAAAAATTTCTTTGATGTCTCTTAATTTGGATTCTAACTGTTTTGGGTCGCCGTCTGAAGTTATATCAATTTGATTGTTTCTCAATGTACGATTCAGTAAATTGTTTAAAAACGAACCTTTAAAATAAAAAACGAAATGTTACAGCTATATTATTTTTATATTTTTACCTAAATTGGATTTAATCTATTTTATTTTTCTCGATTGAAATAAATAAAATAACTATCTTTTAAACCGTTGTCGATCAGCCGTCATAAATGATAAAAAAAGGAATAACTAGTTATAATAATAGTAATAAAAAGCTATTTTGTACAATTAACTCAATATAATTTTTGTTTATTTTTTATCTAGTCATCATATATAATACATTAAGTAGTGCACCTGTATCCAATAAACAATAGCTTATAATATAGTGTATTTACGCTGCATTTAAAACCATATTTAAAATTGTTAAAAGCTCATGTGGAAAAATATTTTATACAGCAACATTAATTTCGGAACTTTATCAAAGGATTAATGCGCCCTATTATCACTGTACTATACTGAAAAGTAAATGTTCAACGATATCAGAAACATTAGAATTCGTTTAAAATACTGCGTGTAACTGTTATTATTATATATTATTATGTATTTATTATTATTACACGACGTGACATAATACATAAGAAACTCAGAAGAAGAATATTGTATAGGTACTTAAAGTGGATATAAGTTTATTCGTAAATTGATTTCATTTTAATACTGAAATATGAATATTAAAACAATGGCATTTTGGCATGTAACACGAGCCATTAATCAAAAACATAACATATTGAACACGATGATAGCATCATATTCATTGTATAAATTGATTGAGTTTGAGAAGATACTGCAGAACATTTTATCGTGTGATGTCACGAACTCAAGAAACAAATAATACGCTAGTTCAATATATACCTATTTCAGTATAGGTGTATAATATATAACGACATTAGGGTTAAATTTTTATTATATACTGCGTTTGTTAACGACTTATTAATAGTTTAGATGCAAATTAGGTATAACAAAAATACCCTTTCGCCAGCATGCTACCTACTGTAGTCACCAAACGAAATAAGACGAGTATTGTAGTGTAGTATTATTTCTCGTATAAAACAATACATTATGTAAAATACCTATTTAGTTATCGAACAAATTTACAAAGATTTTAAGGTCCGAGGCTGTATAGAACATAACATTTTGATATAGTAACTAGTAAGTGAAAGCCATATAAATATAATGTTGGTATACAAATAGTAGGCAGGTATACCTACCAAGCGCGTAATGTACCGCCGAGGATCATTTCAATGCCGAATCATAATTATTAATCAAAACAATTTTCTTGTATCTACGTCTTTTTTTTCAAATTTTAACTTTTGCATACTAAACTACACGATTACACACTATAATAAACTACGTATAATATATGATGCATGAGCATGCGTGCGATGTAACGAAAATATGACTTAATAATATCTTAGTTACGCGAATATTTCAAAAAAATGTCTTTGGTAAAAGACGATTACATATAATTATTACAATATTATCGTCAATACTCGTCGGCCGAACAGACGCGCGTGTGCTCGAAAATATTATATTATATCGTTATTGTCAACGCGATACGTTTTATAATTATTATCGAAAAAAAAATAATTAATAATAATGATTGTACCTTTCGTACAAATCGGGAATAGCGACGCTTGCAAGTCTCTGACCTGTGCCATGTTTACGTCCGCGTTGGCCCCATCCATGGTTTAAACTCGCGGCACACCGCGTTTTCACCAACATTCGTCCGGTTACTACGGTGACACCGGTATAGACTATGACCAATCGATAATATTCTTATTGTGCTATGCCGCTGCGTTTGCGATTCGACATGAGCAGTAACAGACTGTAATCATCACAACAGTATCTACGATATTATATTGTTTGTGTTTATTGTTTAGTATGTGTATAATGTATAAACTAATATATATATATATATATATATATAATATATATACATATATATGTATGATAAGTTTACGTGTAGTGCATGTACCTACTGACTGATATATTATGCATTGTACAACCCTTTTGCACAAACTCAGTAGTTACGTGCAACGCGTGTAAACAAACAACGAAAAGATACACAATAAAAAAAAAGTCGTCGACCCGCTTTTGATTTATACGATATGATATATGATTTAACGACCGCGTATTCTTATGTGCAGACGACTGACGTATCAATGTGCAGCAATCATTATTGTAGTTTATACACACCAACTAATGGACGTGATGATAATAATACAATGTTTTCGCTTTATCCGTGTGATTGTGTGACATTTGATCGCCAAATATTCACACTTAGCTATGATAAAGTATGGAATAAATTGCAAAATACAAATGTCACAGATATACTTTAAAATATATATCTTTCTTCTAATTTTTTCCTTGGAAAATGCATCAATTAAATCATCACGATTCAAAGTCGTCCAAAAATTCGCTTTGATATTCAATACTGCCAAATTATTGCGTGGATTTTTCGTTAAGTGCGTATTGTCGGATTGTTATTACCTGAACCATCATCCATCGATAATATAGAACAATTTTATTATGGTTGCATTCAAATTATTTAAAAACATATATAAATAGTTAATATCAATATTCAATATGTATTATTGTAAGACCCGGGTTTCAATATAATGTGCATAATTTTTTTGGATACTCTAGAGGACTATACATTCCAAGTATATTATATATTTCGTTTCATACCTACATGTAATAGATACTTCAAAGACGAAACTTTTATTATGTATTTTTTGCAGTTCTTAAATTATAAACTTTATGATTTTTATTGTATCAGCTTTCAGTGTAAATTAGGAAATTCAAAATGTTATTTTCATAATATTTGCTTTAATAATTTTTAGTTATTTTTCATTCTTATTAAATTTTAACTATACTGTTTATGAATGTGATAATGTCTTTATTTGCAACGACCGTCGGATATAATGTTGGTGTACTTACTGGTGGGACTTAAACAAATAATAACTAATTGGTTAATTGAAGTTATTTGTGATTTATTTATTTCGAGTATATTTCACTTTTTTTATTATATTGTTAGTTTAATTAATAAAGAAACGTTAAAAATGCAGGAAATTAAACTGTTCTTTTTCTATCGTTTGTGAGCCTATCAAAAAAATTTGAGTCATTTTTAAGACATTGTGTTAAAAAACTATTTTTGCTTATTTTTTAGAGCGTTTTTTTTATAGTTTTTTAAGGCATTTAAATTCGGGTTCTAATTATAATACAATACAGATGTTATGAAATAAAATATATAAAACTGTTTCGAAATTATTTTCACACGATTCTACATTTTTATATGGAGTTCTATACAGAATATATTATTTTAGTTGCTTATCAAATATATGTATTTATTTTATATATTAATTAAATAATATAAACGTGGGTCGTTGGAATTATAATAATAACATAATGAAATCTACTAGTATAACATGAGCTTATGTTTTAAATATATTAAGTATATAAACATATAACAATGCAACTGAATGTTGGTGGATGAGATAATAAAATATAAGTATGTATACCTACAAGAATTTATTTATTTAAAATAGATATATTTGTGACAAATATTATATTATGTGTTCAAGGCACGCACTAATGAATTGTATCGATACATTATTAGTTTTTACTTACACAAATAAGCATACATCTACTGTTTAATGCCATGCTAAACGTATGTAGTTGCTACTTATAAACTATCACTTATATTCTTATAACTTATAAGTATAGGTACTTAGGTACTAAGTTAAATACAAACACGCAATCATGCAATTTTACAATTATTACTGATTAATAAATCATCAATGTACATTTTTATCGTCAACAGAATCATAGTTATTAGTTAGAATTTATTCTGTAGATAATAATTCATGTATATAAATATAGGAATTATCAAAATTCTAATTAATATATCTTTGAAATATAGTAAATAACCTTATTTAATATGCATTCGCTTACTAAGCAGAAGAAAAGGGATTTCAATCAATGTTTATTAGGTACCTACTCAATAGATATTTAGTAATTAGCATACATATAAATCAAGTATTAATTTGAACGGCTTCCATCGTTTGTTATTTTTATCACAAACTTAATAATTATAAAGTAGTATCAAATCGAAAAAAAATAAGATGATTATAATAGTATTATAACAGCCAACAATTTAAATATTACAAACATTGATAGTCATTGAAAACTACCTACTATATAAATAGGTACCAAATAACGTATTGTTCTGATACTTTTCAAAATGGATACTTTTGTTCTATGTTCACACAATGTACTTTCCCCTTTTCTCCATTAATAATTCATAAAGTACTAAAAAAATCGAGCAAATCGCTTTATTGTTAAGTGTTAAACTTATCTCATTATTTAATAAGTTACTGTAGAGGGTGTATTCAATTTAAATTTAAAGATAAGTCAATGTACACAAAAACGGTTCTAAAGGGAAAGAGTCTGTTAGCTAATATTTAAAAAGAAATTTAAAAATATATTTATTCTAATATTAATAATACTCTTCATTTTTCTTGTAGTAATACGGTAGGTAGATTAAGTTTTAATAAAATAAATCACAAATATTATAATTAAAAACCAGATTTATGTGAAAAATAATTATTAAATATGCAAGTTAAAAATAAACAAGAAAAAATACAAAATATACAACATAAAATTTAATTATTATTATTGTAATTATTATTTAAACTATAATAATAAAGATAAATTCTTTATTTTTCGATTAAATTTTATCAAATTTTGTCAAAATTTGAACTGGAATGTTAAAAAAAATTGTGTAATTGTATAATTAAAACTTTTGAGTGCTTCTGTTAAAACACTTATGAGAAACCTTGTATTAAACTTTAGAAGCCTTCTTAGTTATTAAAACTTGAAATTTCACAAATTTTAAACTTAAAAATAATATACCTGCATATTTTAGCAATTTTGTTTTGTGAAAATTTAATATTAAAACACTTGTAAAAAATTGAGAATAAGTATTTTTGTATTACATTTTCAAACTGTAAAACAAAATATATTATACACAAGTCAACAAAAAACATTTAAAATTTAAAATGTCTATAATAGCGCAAAAAGAGTTGAAATTATTTTAAAAATTAAATCATGTCAAGAAAAATATACTACTATTAATAATTTTTGAAAAATCAAGTCCCTATTATTTACTCATTTTTGAATTACAATAAAAACAAAATTGTTTCCCTTTTTTTTTCTTATTATTTTAAAAGTTTCGGGAATCCACTCAAAAATACCAATTTGATAAAATTTTATATCAGAAATCACCCTTAAATTTGGTGGTCAAATTATTTTTTATATTATAAATAAAAAAAAAAGTCATATACCTATTTTTCAGTAAAAACGGACGCATGTAAACTCCACCATAAGTTCTTTTTTTTTTTACTGTTAACTCCGCCAGTGAAGAAAATTTAGTAGGTAACAGTATACAGTTAAATTAATAAGTATATTATTATTAAAAAAATTTTTTATTTTCATAATAATAATTAATAATAGTTTACATTAAACAACAGTTTGATAATTATGTCATAAAATATATCAAAAATATGTAAAAATTCAAAATTACTTACTACTACTACTACTACTACTACTACTACTACTACTACTACTACTACTA